GCTTACTCAATAAGAGGTCGAGCTTATCCATGTCCTCAATTGTGGGATTCTTGACCCCAGGTGACTTCAGACCTGCAGAACCATTACACTTCTCCCTATCAGAACAACCGGGATCAATTACAGGGAGCTCAGGAGAACTACCTCCTATATGACAAGGTAATGGTACGGTTTTAACATATTCAATCTTCGCTCCATGACGTAGTAACTCAGCTGCTCTACTTTTAGCCTCCGCTGCTCTACGCATAGCGCCAGCTGCCTCAACCTCGAGTTTTACAATCTCCAACTCCAACTTAAGCTCAACATTAACATCAACGTCACCACAATCACGCCAGTTATCGGACTTACCAGCGGGAGGTGCACCGGCAGCATCCGTCTGAGATTCATACTTGGAATTCTCCTGACTTGAGGATTCCAGGGATGGTAGGAAAAACAAAGCACGCAACTAAGAATAGTTCGCAAAAAGAAAACTATTTCTCACAGGAAAGAGGATGTCAAAGGTTGAACGGATGTTCACGATTGCAAGCTGCAATCGTCAATAAAACGCAGGTAACACAACAAGTTCAATGTCACAATCCGAGTCACAGAGAATAGCATTCAAATATTCAGCCGTTCGAATTTTGAGCAAACCAAATACTGTTACGCCTGCTTGAGTTGGTAACTCCAATACGCGTACGAGTAAACCGAATTTCGTGATCTGATACGAACGATCTTGATCAACAAGATAATGACCGATCCGGAACAGGAACGAACGATTTATAACTGTCTGAACGAACGATCCCGATCCAATGAACCCAATACGAACGAGAAGTGAGCACACAAATTCAACGAATAGACCACGATAATTTATACGGTATCTATAAAAGGTCATAACCATATAATACAAAAAATGCAAAACATACTTGGATGTATGCTCACCGAAGCAGAACGCAGGAATCAACAGAAACAGGGAGAAGGCTCAACCGAGCTGACAAAGCAATATGTCCGGTCCAGCGTCAATAAATGTGAAATTGATACATTAAACAAACATGAAGTTACAGACAATAAGGGGTAGAAATTGTAAGAATTAAGCAGTAAAAGGGAAGAAAGAGAGAAATCCTTTCAATTCATCAACGGTGCATTGGCCGCCGTTACAGGGCTCCACCAGAGAAGAGATGGATCCACTAGTACTTGAGGGAGATAGGGTTGTAACTGAAAAGCAGAGTAAGGCTGATGCATTCTGCGCTTAATCTGGCAGCGTGCAAAGGCCAGATGCCGGTGACTCAAGTGCTCTCCAACCATCGGCAACAGATATAGTGGAGGAACTAAGGGTAACACTCAAACAAGCATCTGAGGTACTAGGAGGCCTTAAGGTATCAAAGGCTCTTGCACCAGACGGAATTAGCTCAGCGATCATCAAGCCGATTGCTGATGTAATCCCTAGGCCGATTTGCAGCGTTTTTGGACCATCATTAGCTGATGGGAATTTACCGTCCGACTGGAGAACAGCTTCGGCAGTAGCCATACACTAAGGCGGTAAGAAGACAGAGGTAAAGAACTGTCGACCTGTTAGCCTAACTAGCGTGCTATGCAAAGTGCTAGAAAAGATAGTTAGAACGCATCTAGTAAAGCATCTGGAGTGTAACATACTCATGACAGAGGCACAACATGGTTTCGTTAAGCAGCGTTCATGTCTAGCAAACCTGCTGTGCTTTTTGGACGATGTTACTGCAAAGATAGATGAGAGTAAAAGCGTAGAGGTTTGCTACCTGGATTTCAGCAAGGCTCTTAATTCAGTAAATCATTGCCTGCTGTTGACAAAGTTAGAGCAATTCAGAATCCAAGGACAGTTGCACAGGTGGATAAGTGCCTTTCTCTCACAACGATCATTCTGTGACGGTTGGTGAGAAAAGGTCAGCACCAGTTGAGCTGACTAGTGGAGTTCCGAAAGGCTCAGTATTAGGACCGCTTCTATTCCTTCGCTATATAAACCACTTGCCAAGCACTCTGACATCATCATGCTACATTTTTGCAGATGACGTCAAAGTGGTTGGTTCGAATGGGAGAAGTGATCTGGAGCGGGATTTAGAACAGGTAACTAGATGGGCAAAGGAATGGAACCTAAGCCTTAACGCCACCAAGAGTCATGTGCCCACAGGGGCGTTTTACGGACTGGAAGTTCCATCGGATGAGCACGAGTTCGCTACTGAACCTGCAACTAGGGTAAAAAACTTAAGGGTAGTGATGTCGAATAATTTTAAGTGGTCTGACCAGTGTGCAGTAGCAGCGCGAAAGGCTAGGCGGAATTATTCAAACTACGTTTCGTCGTATCACGTAGACGACCGAAAGTCTTCATTCCCGTTTTCAAAGCCATAGTCAGGCCACATCTAGAGTACTGTGTACAGGCTTGGGCACCCTTATTCAAGAAGGATGCTGCCTGTTTAGAGAAAGTTCAGAGATTGGCCACCCGAATGGTTGAGGGTCAAAAGGGGAGAATATATGATGAAGACTAGAGGCTCTAGGGCTTTTCTCATTAGAAAGAAGGAGACTGCGATGGGACCTGATAGAAACTTTCAAAATCATGAAGGGAATATCGGGGATAGGAGCGGACACTCTCTTCTCATTAGCACTAGGGGGCATGAGTTCAAGCTCATGAAGCAAAGATGTCGACTAAACATGCGAAAGCTTTTTTCAGTAATAGGATAGTAGATAACTGGAACCGGCTTCCCCAGGAAATAGTCGACCTTCAAACAAAGCAGGCCGTTAGGACTGCACTTGACAAGCGTTGGGTAGAACTATTCCTATCTCTTGCAGTTTATACGAGTGTAGGTGTGCCAATTGTTTAGGATGCCATTTCCCTTTTTTATTGGTGCATGTAATAGAACGCTCACGCCTAACAATTCACTCGCCAACTTGGTGAGATGAGATTTTATTTATCATTTTCATTTCAGCAGTGCTGAATGCCCACTTATTGAGCATACCATCGAAGGAATCCTGGACGCTTGATTGGCCGTGGCCATATTCAGTCCTGTGCAATCTGACCTGACCTGAACTGAACTGAACACAACTGCGACCTTGACCTTGACCGCGTGGTTCAAATTTTTGTCGTAGTAGATAAGTCTTGCCTTTTCCAATCTTTAGTTAGCCTATGTTAGTGTGGTAACACAAATAGGGTCTTTATTTTAGCGTTGCTATATTGTACCCGTAGTAGGTTAAACGTTTTTGTCATTGTGTCGTTGTGTCTTACACCTTTTACATTGCGTAACCTCATTTACATCTAGTGGTAACATATTTAATTGTTTCCTGATTGTCATAGCCTCTTTTAACATGCCACGTGTGTCTTATCCATGCCTGAATGTATCGTGGGGTAGACGGGTAGTCACAGGTATAGAATGCAGCATATGTGAGCATTGGGCACACAAAACTTGCTCGAAGCTCTCAAGCAAGCTATTCAAACTATACAGCAATTAAGTAGATCTTCTGTGGATCTGCCAAGGATGCCGAGAGATTGTAACATCTACGTTAAAAGGCAGCCAGAATTCCTTGGATAATAGTGGGGACATGCAAGGACAAACGCTACGCGTCAGCGTGTCGTCACTCAAATCACCAACGGGTCAACCAACCAACGATACTCGGAAAACACCACCCAACCATAAAGGTAAATCGTCGCTTCTGAGGAGCCCTTTGAATCACTCAACACCCAAGACCCAAGTCCGAAAAAGACTTGCAACGGCAATCATCCTGAACCAGCCATGCCTCGAACCAAGCATAGTATACAAGAGACGACACAGGGTCAATCAACGGTTGTCCCTCAGAACCAAACTGTTGTGAAACAACAAAACAACAGTTCCATAAAATCAACCGCGCCTGTTTCAACGCATCAGCCGACTCAACGTGCTGGATAATTCAATAGAAACAAGACAAATCTTGAAGAGATCAGGGAAAACGGAGGAAACCCCAAACCCGAAAACGACAGCCGCAAAGTTCATCAGCAGCCCACAGGTTTTCAGCCGGGTGCTCCGCCTGACGGTTTCAAGGCAGCTATCTCTCGACTGGAGAAACACGAAGTTAGAATTAAGAACTTGGCTCACCACATGCAAAGGCAAAGGTGTCTTATGAGACCACCTTAGGCAGGACGCGTAACGTGATAATCCACGCTCCAGCGCCCGTTATCTCCAACACCGATCAACCGATCGCCGCAGGGAAAACACCGTATCCGGTCTAACCCTGACGCAGCATGTGATGGTACCTACCAGGATAAGACCCGGACAAGTACCCTCGCGCAGCATGTGATGGTACCTACCAGGATAAGACCCGGACAAGTACCCTCCACTCTCGATCTCGTTCTAACGAGGAACAGCAATGCGTCGCGGGAATAAGGACCGTAGTTCCTCTAGGCAAAAGCGACCACTCACCGGTGTTCTTCAAATTTCACCGAGTAGAAACCCCGAAGCCCAAAACTGGAACTGGACGGGTCCAAAACATCAACATTGACGACTTGGTCAACAGAGCAAAGGAACTGTGCTGGGACAATCTGAGCTCTATAGAGGACACCTGGAACCGAATGAGGGACAACATTCTACTCCTCACGGAAGTCTACGTTCCTGTAAAAACAACGGGGATTAGGGGACACAAACCTTGATTCCGACCTAGAGTCCGCCAAGCGTTTAAGAGGAAACATCAGGCATGGATAGCGTTCAACAGGCAGAGAAGCCTCTTGCTCTTCGCTCGCTTTAAACGTCTCCTCAATAAAGCCATCAACGTAGCACGGGAGGCTAGACTCAAGTATGAACTAGTCATAGCCAACGAGGCCTCAAAATACCCCAAGGGATACTTCGACTACGCTCAAGCCCGGTCCTCATCAAAAAAAGTGATCTGCAATGCCCTTCACATTATTGAACAATTTTGAACACCGACAAGGATATTGCCGACTCTTTCCTCGACTCGTTCCAAGAGGTATTTCGCCTGGATAGCCTGAGCGACTACCTACCCTCGATCGAGTGAGCGACATGCCAGATCTGGTGATTGTATTGATCGATCTGTGAAAATCCTTCCTGTAAAGCCCAGTCATTCCACCTCGGTTTCACATTTCGTGAATTTTACGTTCCATTCACCAAACACCATCCGCCTCTTACACATATAGACATTTGACGTTCCAATCCCTTGTATATTTACACATCAATCCTACCGTTTGACTTTGTTTGTTTATCTGCTTCAATTTTTATGCTACTTGTTTTAATGGCGACTTGAGCGCTCACATTTGGCTCGTTCATGTGCAGAGTGACGGTGAGCGTGCTATTCTAACCCAGGCTCATTTACTTCCATTCAGATTTGTTGAATTACGCTCACAGTAACACTTGGCTCTTGTTTTCAGGTTGTTTCGAGATCACTTTGAGGTTGGTACAGTCTTTATTTGCTTATTTGATCGCTTATTAATGCAGCTTTTCTATTTTCACTCTTGTTCCCTACACCTCTTGTCCTCGATGAATCTGTTTTGATGCTTCACAGCCAAATCAGAATCACAATTTTTATTTCAGTTAGGGTTAAGGAACCCCGTTTGAGCATTTCCGCTCAAATGCTGTCGGTATTGCTTGGACTAAAATGTCCTTCGTATATTTTGGTTTCTTCACTTGAACTAAACTGTTTCTCCCACTTGATCCTACTCTGTCTGGTAGCTTGCCTGCTGAATGCCTCCAAACTTCAGTGAGATTGTCCCTCTCTCTTACTCCCTACACCTATTGTTCTCGATGAATCTGTTTTGATGCTTCAGAGCCACATCAGAATCGTTATTTATTTTTTAATAAGGATTTGGAAATTCTGTTTGAGCATTTCCGCTCAAGTGCTGTCGGTATTACTTGAACAGAAATGTCCTTCGTATATTTTGGTTCCTTCACTTGAACTATCCTGCTTCTCCCACTTGATCCTACTCTGTCTGGTATCTTGCCTACGGAATGCTTCCAAACTTCAGTCAAGTCGCCTCTAGGTTTTCTATTTTCACTGTTACTTCCTACACCTCTTGTCCTCGACGAATCTGTTTCGATGATTCAGAGCCAAATCCGAATCACAATTTTTATTTCAGTTAAGGTTTAGGATTCCCGTTTGAGCATTTCCGCTCAAATGGTGTCGGTGCTACTAAAATTTCCTTCGTACATGTATTGTGACCTAACATCTAGCATGCAACATATTGCTCCTATCATTCTCAGCAAATTCCCCCGGCGTCTCTCCGTGGTATATGCTATCCTGATAGTTGTGTCCACTTTAGCAACCAATTCTTAAGAGTACATGGATTCAGTTTCACAGCCGTTGAATTCAAAACTCTGGTGTGCACTTTCAGAAGCATTCTATCGTCTTACAGCGCTGTAACTCCTGGTTATGGTCCTATATTCACTCCGGCACCCCATCATTTTAGTAAAACGTGCTAGGCGTGCACTTATTTTTGGTTTTGTTCTGTCGCATGCTCCGTTTCCCCTTCTCCCTTCCCTCTTCAGCTGGATACTACCCCAGACTGCTGCATATCGCCTCTTTGTTCCAGATTCGGTTGGTTTGGGCCTGCCGAAGGCTTGGGGTCCTCACCCACAATGGACAATTTGGCTCCGACAATGGTTGTTGGGCACGGCTGTTCCCACCGTTTCGACTACATGCGTCCGCGTTCCGGACCAGGTTGAGGATCACACCCCCTGCCTCACCTACAAGATGTTTTAAGGTTAGGTGTCTAGCGTGTAGTCAGTCCCACATCAAAGCGATCAACGCCTAATTAATCTAAATAATCCAAATCACTGCTTGACCGTTTGAAGCCCCGAACCAAATGAACTTGTCTCCAGAAGCGAGTTGTATTGCAGCATAGAGTGAAACATGTTCCTTTACCGACGNGTATTATTCTGGCTGTATTCCTTCCTTTCTATTCTTGTCCTCATGCCTCCACCATCAGGCAGCATTTGTTCCACAGATCGCCTCTCCGTATTTCCCTGCACTGTTGTCTTACGTCCAATCCTTCCGAGAACAGTTTTATCATTACTTCCAGTTCTAGTGACATGCATTTCCAATGCATCCTCCAGCTTCCATAAATTAGTCGGTGACCTTGTCCGGTTTGTGTTCCTTTCATACTGTGTTTTCGTTCTGATCCCCACCATTTTTATTGTCTACGTATGTGCTTACACTGTTATTGTACATATGCTCGCTCTGATCATTTGATCATGCCTTGTGCATGTCTCACGGTCTCCGTGACATATACTCCTATTATTATTAGTAGTAGTAGTAGTACCATAGAAATTTGCCTGATCGTTCGTTTTGTTGACGCCTTTGGATCCAATTTCGGTTACTCTTTGCTCGTTGATCTATTCAGGAGTTACCGTGTTATCTACACCGGACGTGGAAAGAGTCTTTAAGACTCTTAAAATCTCCAAATCCACGGGTCTAGACAATATCCACCCAGTCATCACAAAACCGATAGAATTCTTAATAATCCCCCAACTAGTCACAATGTTCAACGACTCTCTGAACACGGGCCGGATTCCGAAGGACTGGAAAAATGCCACAGTTGTACCAATCTTTAAAGGAGATAACCAATCGGATCCGTCCAACTATCGTCCGATCCGTCTCACCAGCATCGTTGCTAAGCTCCTGGAGCGCATTCTGCGAGACCACGTAAGCGCGCACCTTCTTCAAATCGGTTTCTTTTGCAGCGCCCAACACGGATTCATCAAAGGCAGATCCTGTCTAACAAATATGTTATGTTTCCTAGACGTAGTAACACAGAAATTAGATGAGAGAACGGAAGTCGAAGTGTGCTACCTGGACTTCCAGAAAGCATTTGACTCAGTTAACCACAGGTTGTTGGATTTCAAGCTCCGAAAAACTGGGCTTAATCCGAAAGTCTGTAACT